ATTGCAGGTACAAACAGATGATATTTGGAGTGCAGAAAATAAATGTCACACTGCAAAATAACCCAGGGGAAAAAAGCCGTGCTCAGCATGTCTGTTCCTCGCCCGAACAGGGTGAAGCCTGTGCCATCGCAGAGTCAGGCAATGCCCTTTACCTACGTGACAGTCACGCCAACCTCATTTTTGCCTCTTTTGAGCAGTTTCAGGCGTGCCGGCGTTTCCAGCGAGCATCAGCACACCTTGGCCTTTTGCTGCCTGCAGCAGCGGGAGCCTCTGGATGCTTGTTGCGATAATCACGGTAAGAGCCAGCCCCGCTGTGGCAGACGGACTGACTTCTGTCCCCTCCACTGCCCGGGGGGCGGGCGGCCGTTTCCCTGCGGACAGCCCCCCCCCACGGCCACGCCGCAGTCCTGCACCCTACGCCTTCTCATCCCGCTGGTTTTTTGTTTGGGGTTTTTTTGTTGTTTTTTTTTTTTTTGGCCGCAGCTAAGGCAAAGTAACCCCAGTTTAGACCTAACTGGGGAGCCTGCTCTGCCTGGGGCTCTTTAAACCAGCCCCAGAATCCACACAGCAGCTCTTTGTTTTTTTTCTCCCTCTGCACTGAAGACTTTGCAGCCCAGGGGCTGCGGGATCAGGCTCAGAGTCTGACCAGCGCTCCATGGCAGTACTTTTTTGTTTCAAGAGACCGTTTTGGCATGGCACAAAGGTACCGACCCCTCTCTCGGCCCCGGTATCCACCACGTTATCAGAAGGAGGTGGGTTCCAGTGGAAGGTGTCTTGTGCCAGCAGCCCCTTTGCCCTTCAGAGAGGGACCAGAACTGCAAACCACTGAGCAGCACTTTCTACCTGATAAATGCTTAAGACTATATGTTGCCCGTGTGAATGCATGCAGCATACAAAACTGGCATATTAGGAGATAGCTGTGCAGGTCTGGGAAAACAGAAGGATCCCAAGGAAGATCAGGAAGTGTTTGACAGCAGTTCTCTGCAATTACCTTTCTGGGCAGAATGGAGTTTGGCTCTGCATATGCGGCACTGTGACCGTCTTCATTCATGATACAGTAATCCAGACCTACTAGAAATGGGCACGCACCAGCTGCCTCCTTTGCTTTTCTAGTCTCCAAGCAGTGTCACTTACTAGATCGAATAAAGCCAAACAGATACTTGAAGTTTTCAGGCAGAATGGCTGGAACAACAACAACAAATCTATTTAGAGGACAGCAAAGCTTTGCAGAGTAGTCCCGCATTAAACAGGGCTCTGGGAAGCCTGTCCCATTGCCAGCCCGGCTGACTACATCCCACTGACTGCTCACTCCGTGTCTACAATGACATTTCAGTTCGAGAGCACTTCTGAAACACATCTCCCATCTGTCCCTGCTTACAGCGTGTGGCTCCGTGACATGAGCCAGCCTTGGACTGCCTTGAGTGGATTCCTTTCAGATGAAGTTAAACAGGAAAATGACCTGTAGGAACAGCCCTAACGCGCTCCGCTGGCTAACAGGCCTTCAGTGAGAGCTCGGTGGGTGTAAAACCCCTGATGGGTCAGGCCTTCGGCATCCCCTGCTTCGTGCTACAGACTCGCTGCCCCTCAGCCATGCTGCCGAGCAGCAGAGCTGTTGTTGGCCCCCATCGCCGCAGCTGTCCCCCTCTGCGGCGACCGTGACTCGGGATGCCCACCGCGCACGAGTGTGCCCGTACGGGCGGGAGGCGCAGCAGGGACCAGTTTTGCTGCTGGATGGTGAAAGCTTCGCCCACTCCCATCGTTTCCAGCCAAGAAATGGGCTGTGGAGGTGGCAGCTTGCTCAGCGCTTCCCCGAGCTGGTTCTTACTCTCCCGAGGAAGAGGAAATTAATGGTCATCGATGCTCGCAGGGCCGAGGGAGGGGATGCCAGCCCTTCCCCCGGGGTGGTGGGAGGCATGATCTCATGTTGAGACAAATTCTTCAGGCAGAGCGGAGGGAGGTGATGTGGCTCAGCAAAAAGAGCTGGGACTGCAGGAGCAAGGCCCGTAAAGGGTGTGAGCATTTCAAAGCACTCTCTGATGTTTCTAATAACCCAAAGCACTTAAAACTACACTTCAGTATGCACTGTCAGATTAATTTATTAGCAGAAAACATGTTTTGCTATAAGGCAGACAATTAACAGAGAATTTCTGTAATTCTTAGTCAAGAGGCCAAATTATTACTGGTAGTTCATACCTGCAATTAAAATGACTGCTCTGAAATGAACGGGAGACCCAAAACGCATATGGCAATTATTTCATACAATATATAAAATATATAACTTACATTTCTTAATTATAAATACATTGTAGTTTCTATGTAAGAAACAAACATTCTAGAGTTCATTTGCAAAATAAGCACTGCAGGAGATGTCCAATCTTCCGTGGCTCTCCCTGGAAAGCAGATGACATGCACAGCAGCACCTACAGAGTCCATGGGTTGAGAGAGAAAACCCCATTCACATTGTTCCTGTTGGCCAGGGTAAAGACCCTACATTGTAATCCTGGTAAGAATTAAAGTAGGGTTATACTGGTAATTAGAGCCTACAGAAATTTGTGAGCTTCTGAAGGAATCTGTAGAAATAAGGCGAGACAGAAATAAAGCCAGACTTCCAAGCCTTCACCCTTACAAGCAATTCCAAGTTTCACGGAAAGTTTTGTACAAAAAGCCTGTTTTTAAAAAATGATAAAAAGTAAAGGTAAAATCTTAACTCCTCATGAAGTACAGGTTACCAGTAGCATTCACTACAGTGTAGTTAGTTATTTAATGTCTGTGATGTTTGACTTGTATCTTGATTTACTTCTCCAGGTACCCAGGCCACCTATGATGTTTCAGGGACTTTTCAATTATTTCAGCTGTTCCTATAGACACAGAATTCTTTCTTTACCCATTTTGATACCAGCTGACTGATCAGTATAAAACTTAGGGGCCTTAAACCTTCCCCTGATTTTTTCCCCGCTTCTACCTCAAGTAAGAGAGCATTCCCAATGGATTATGGAAACAAGAAGGTTTCAGTGGGTGGCATGGGGCGGACTTTTTAACTCTAATCTGGACAGTGTTCTGATCTGTAGAAAAAGCCAAGAGTAATTATTCTAACACAAGATGCCTATGAGAAGCGTGTGGGGGGGATATGCCAAAGTAAAATATTTATGATTTAAAACCAGATTATAATCTTGCTTATGAAGCATCAACATTTGTATTTAACTTCATATGGAAGTTACAAACAATGAAATTACATAATCCTTGATGAGAGGAAAAAAACTGTCTTTCTGAGGTTTGTACAGCATCCAGACCAGTAACTTAATCCCCAGGCCCTGGAGTCTGAATCTGACAGGTGAGGCACAGAGCTCTTGCAGCTGGATCTGCTGGTCCTAAATTCAGGAGCCAGGTTCTTCCACACTAGATTACAAGACCTGGTGACGTGGCAGTTCAGCAATTTCCTCATGAGCTACTGTGAAAAAGCGCTCTTGTAGTGTGATGCAAAAATGGATTTCACCGTCCTTCCCTTAGCTGACAAACAGTGTCAGATTTTTCTCCTTCATTCAGTACCTAGACCTGGGAAATGAAGCTGTACGCACCCTGCTTACCAAGACAGCGATGGTGCAGGAGGTCAGGCAGTTGCCTGATGAGATTTCTGCAGCTAACACTGCAGGCACTGCACTCAACCAGCAGCCCTGGAGTAGCCGTCAGCCTAACTAGGCTCAGAGAAACGGCAGTTTCTCCCGCTCCAGTGAGAGTGAATTCTCGTGGTGGTTATAGGATGTAAGCATTGCCCAGTTCTAAAGTCCAGGTACTCAAGAATGAAGTTATACTGTGAGCCATGGGGAATCACAGCTCCTTGCTGCAGCTCCAAGCACCAAGAACTGTACCTTAAGTTACAGGACCAGTAGCCAAACTAGGTGAGAACAGACTCCATATAATTAATGCCATGTTAAGGATGCTTTGCACACTATCCAGTCCCAGCTTTGCTATCTTGTTCCAACCTTTTCCAAAGCCTAAAAGAAACAAACAGAACATACAGCAGCATCTTAAGACATGATTCCCCTTCCAGGACTTTAAGGAGGGCAGCAAAGATAAAATGTGTGAAAGACCTGGGAAAAGGCCATTTATATATCCTACCAGCAGCAGCAGAAAAATGTTTAAAGTGTTTGCACTTGAGAACTCAGAAGAGGATTGAACAGAAAGTCTTGGAAGGTCTGCTAAAACAAACAGCTAGAGGTTGTATTCAAAGCAGCAAACAGATGAGAGTAAGGAGAAAAGATGCTGGGTACGACTCTCTGTTCTGGTTACCCGTTACCTACCCAGCACCCCTTCAAAACTAGCAACGACATTAGACTGCAGTTTCACCGGCTGTTTTAATGTCACCCTCGCTCCATGTGCAGTCATCCAAGAGATCGGCACCTGAAATTCAACAGATCGTCCTATCTAAGAAACAACGGGACATCTGGTACTTTATTAGCTTCTGTAGTCCTAGAAGCCTGTTAGTGAAGATTAACAAAACCTAAACACTAGCAATCTTCACATAGTATGTAGGGGCCAGTGAGATGCACACAGCCAAATTCTTTTAGGCTGCATCCAGAAGCTGAGAAAAAGCAAAGCTAATCTTTGTCTACATTAATTCAGATGGGCTGCAGTTGAGGAAGCACACAGAGCAGCAATGCAAGTATCACAAAACAAAACAGCTCTGCTGCTGGGGTAGTTGGAAGAGGTTATGTATGAGAGACAAGCTTGATCTCCGGATCACTTACCTAGCAACGACTGCGACCCCAATGGCTTTGTCTCCTTTATACAAAGCAAAAGCCACTTTCAGCAACAGGAATAATTGCTAGTGATTATTTATCTACCATTTCCTAGAAGATTCCCTTGATGATTGCACTTGAAAAACTAGGGCCTATTTCTGCATTCTGCTAGCCCAGAACTTAGAAATCCATTCCCTCAATCCATACACCAAGCAAAAAAGGTACCATTTTATTATTACTCTGATCTACCAACAATAAACTTTCAGTATTTTTTTTTTAATATGTTAACAATGATTAGCCACCCTGTTACTTTCACAGAAAATACAAGCAGCATTTTTTCCGCAAGAACTTCTAAATTAAAAAGACCTTCAGGTAATACTGTAAAACATTTAAGACATCATAAATAAACTTATTTTAAAAATCACTTTCCAAACAATAAATAAAACTCTTCCTTATTTGAAAGTGCAAACAGGCTGCATTATAAAAAGTACAGAGCAAGACTGCAGAAGTGCTTAATTATTCAACAGTGACCAAGACACAGTTTCTTGTTTTGGTGCTGCTGGTCATCTAGTGATTTCGTTTTCTGGACCCCATCTAAAGAAAAAAAAACCCATGTGTGAAATATTAATACAGTAGTAAGCATAGTCTAAATACTGAACACATACAGGCACACTGGAATAACACTGGGTGGGGGGTTGAGGCGGGGGAGCTTGTCATCTTCTCCATACAGAGGAACATGCAATAACCATAGTAAAAGAAACATACTAAGGAAAAATAGCAACTTAAAACAGTTCAGTGTTGAAAATGCAAGCATACCATCTCAAAGAAAACATTGTTAGAAAAATGAGCCCTGTTAAAGGTTGTCAAAGTACCCCAGGATGAATCTTCCTCCAGCTGCATCTAAAAACCATTAGCAGAGAGACGGACAAACAATCCCTAGCATTTTGCAGTGATTATTAATGCCATAAACACTACTCTGAGCCCTTCCCTCCCCACTTTCCCCCCAACTCAGAAGGAAATAGCTAACAAACAGACTTCTCCACCAATTTAGCTCACTACATGTTAGGAATTAGCTTGTAGTACATGGCTATTCATGTGCTACAAAAACCACCTTCAGTCTTTTTTTATGCTCCTAGCAAGGTGCTCAGTGCTTTGAGTAACTGCCAACTGCTTATCCTTATGCTCCATAGCTTGAGGCACAAAAATTATTTAGCTTCTTTTTTCATATTACTTCGCCCTCTGGATGAGAAACATTTTAAGGACTGGTAGCTGACCGTAGATGCCAATGGTGGGTCCATTTTGTAGCAGAAAAAGGCTTCAACATAAGACTTATCTAAACTGTTTTCAGAAGATGACAGCTCCTTTGCTACAGGGGTGCAGGTCACCAAGGATTTTGTGGCCTTCATATTATATATGTATATAAATGCACACAAAAATAAATATTGATTGAAGAGCATTGGCATAGATTCTACTACATAAAAGAAGCACTGAAATGTTCTGCAGAATGTATTTAAATGACTTGGAGGAGTCCAATTTCTCTTGAAAAAGAATGGCACTCTCTATAGAGCAAAACATAAAAAGTCTTTGTAGAACAAAATTTAAAACACAATAATGTAGTCTGAAATGATCTCTGTACAAAACAGTATATTGTTGACCTTGATAGTAGCATTACTAGATTTTGTAACATACGCCAATGACAAGCATTTGTTGAAACAAGCTTATGTTTTTTGACTTATCATTAGTTCATCTATTCAAACAGATCAGAGAAGTGTTCATAGCAAAATTTAACTAATCGAAATCAAGATTAATTAAGACTAATCAATCCTAGAGGGATTCAGGTTTGTTTAAAACATGATCTCACTTATTGACTTCAGTCATAAAATGAATTAATGAAAATATACTTACTTTCCCTGGCTGTGGGCTCATGGAAATCAAGGGCATTGGTGTGCAATGGATTTAGTTGCCACTGGTAAAAGAAGAAGAAAAAGTTTACTTATTTCAGAAGACAGAAGAAAGAGCAAAGGGAGAAAGAAAAAGTACCCTACAGTCCTTCACTCTAAGGCATGACGAGGGGTGAGGCAAGAAATGAAGGGCTCCCCCTCTGACACACACTGGCTTTGAGGATAAAAAGCTATGAAGGGATGTGTGGCCATTTACTCCCTTGAGAAGGGGAAACGAGGCTTCTCAAACTGACAGTGCTGCAGTTTATCACGGTGAGCACCCTGAGCGCAGGTGCACTTGGCCACCTTCAAAATCCACCACAGCTCTTTCAGGAGCTGCCAGAAGGGCTTACAAAATCACACAGCGATCTCCCCCATCAGCTGCCGTGCTGTGACAAAGAGGCTTGGAGAGAACTTCAGAGTGTGAAGAGATCACCTCAAACAACATCAATGACTTAGAGGGAAATCCACAAGGAAATTAGAGAAAACAGACACACTTGGCCCCACCATCTGGCATATGGCACAACTTCTCCCCAGTGTCGTGACAAAGCAACTTCTCAATTCCACTCACTTGACCAAGCAGCACAAGAAAACACTCCTCTATGCTGACTGCAGATGACTGCTCGCTCCGCCCTCCCCCCAGTGCTGCCCAGAGTTTTTAGAATATAGTATATTTAGATACTTACTGTAAATTTGCTTACACCCTCAAGTTCCCCAAACTTCATATAGGATATGTCTGCTTTCTTTTTTCCAGCATCAACATCTCCTGCATAAATCTGCTTGATACCAGCCCCTTTGATTAAAGGGACACATTCGTCACATGGACATTTCGTCACAAATATCATGCTTCTCTCATCTGGCTTTATTTCTCGACACCTACAAGCAGTCAGAAAACAGAAGTTTCTATCTTAATAGTTTTGAATAGTGATGAACTTTATCCCTCACAAGAGCAAGCAAAGAAGTGTTTTATTATCTACTCGCAGAAGCAGCTTATTCCTACTCAAGTGCACAAGTACACAACAACATCTGGTTTGGTTTTACTATCTGTGAACAAAACACCCATCCCACCTCTCCACACATATTATTGTTGTAAGCCTCAACAATTGCCACGCTTCCGTATTTCAGGTTATAGCATGGTCCTAGCAGGAAGCAGAAGCAGTGGCTTGTATCTGAAGGATAGCTGCCATTAAAAAACAAGTTCAGTCAACATCATGTATTTGTCATGCATCTGTTTCTGAACTGTCTCATTATTTTCTGTGGTAAAAATAAACCCATTACCTGAATGTCAAGGCGTTCTGCTCTGCGTGTATAATGTATCTGAACTTTCTGATTTCCCGATCCTTTTGTTTATCATCCATGTGTGGAAAATCAGCATATTCAGATCCAACAGGAAAGGCATTGTAACCACAGCCTACAAAATACATTGGTCCTGTTCCATCACAGCTTCTCTGTAACAGTAAGCAAAGCATCAAATTTGGGACATTTAAACCGAGTACTGAAGTATTAAGTCAAAGTGTAGTACAATGTATACTTTCACATTATCAGTTCATGCCAAGTTACAGCCGTTAAAAGATAACAGTTCTTGCTAACTGCTCCATGTCAGTATAGAGCTTTTCCATTAAGCTCCACAGGAGCTGCAAAGGCAAACTGAAACACCGCAGACAACACACTGCACCAGGCTTTAGAAGCTTTCCCTTTAGCAAGTAATACTGATGGCAGGAACAAAAAGTCTGAAGGATTTAGTCCTTAAGCCTTCCTGCAATGTACAAAATTAAAGACAGATGGAGTTAGTCCCTGATGTGCCGGAGACGGTGTTTCACCTGTCTTTCAACAGACCCAGAGACCAGTGGGCTGACAAAGTAGCAACTGGCGATTGAAACCAGAACAAGAAACAAAACAGCAACAAGCAGTTGGTGACTGAAGTGCTAAAAACAAATGAAGAGTATGTTGCAGCTGCATGAAGAATGAGGCTTTCTAGGATTGGTAACATGCATATAGAGAGATAAAGAAATAAAAAATTTACGTTTGGATGGGAAAAAGCACAGTAACAATATTTGTAGAAAAATATCACTTTGATCCAAAAAGGAATGTGCTAAAGCCAGTACAGCATTTCAACTGTAACAAAAATCCTCAAAAGATTGTCAGGCTATGATTGCACTGAGACCTCTCCAAAAGAGAGCTGCAAAGAGGGACCGTGCAGAGGAGGCACATGCTGCCTGATCAGCAGCTGTGGCAAAACGTTGTCACCAAGACACCTGGAATAACTGACAAGGACTGGGGAAGCAAGCACGCTGAAAAGCTAGGCAGAGACACTGTGGTACTTCCCCTTCATCTTGACAGCGTAATAATGAAACAGTCATTAACTTAGTTACTAAAGAATGAGAAGTGCAAGCTTTCTATACTGCTGTGAGTGTGAGTGAAAATGCAGGTGTATAAACTTAAAAAATAACAAGCCCAAAGCAGATACAAGTGTATGAATTGTGAGTGCAAGAAAAAGTAACTTTTTCAATACTTACTGATTTTTCTTCTGCCCAAATAATAGCTCCAACTCCTGTTTTATGATCCTCTGAAATACATAACATTTCAGCAGTAAATAACAAATAAAGCACTTCTGAGTTACCTATACATTAACGTATGACATCCTAGAGTAAGGAATAACATTTGTTGTTGCTTCTTGGACAGGAGAAAAGAAATGCAGAAAGATCAAGAGCTTAAAAGTCATATGAGTCTACTGCAAAAGCTGGGTGTACTTCAACTGCAATGCCAGCCATTCTAAGACTTTGCTATGTACATTTGTTCACAAATGCTAAGAAGCAGCCAATACTTATATCAGATAAGAAAATGTGTGTCAAGAATATATGTGGACAGGTTCGCTGATGTGAGATGGCAAACTGATAAAAAACTTCTCACTGTTTGCTACTTAATTACTTCATTTCTGCCATTCCTTAAGCTTATGGTTCTGTGGTCTGAATTTCTATCAAAATTAGTTCTTTTTTATACCTAATTCAGAGTCAAAAAGTTAACAGCTGGATTTGGGGCAGGTGTTTCCTATCACCACCACAGGAAAACTGGAACAGAACTTTCATTATGTGTCTTGGAAGATTTTTACGGAACTTGGAAATCTTTCCCAGTAGCTATTGATGAGGGACCTGACCAGTTAAAAAAGAGCATATCAAGGAGAAAAAAGTGTTTCAGGCTTCCAGTGATTAATACTGTAGACAATGCTGTTTCAGTTAACCATTTCCATCATCCTTAGTATCACTACCATATAGAATCACTCAAAGAGGGTCTTTCCTGCCAAAGATATGTTTTATGAGGGCTGACTTTTTATTCTGCATATTTATTAGTCACTGATGTATATTAAGCCAGCATAGAAAACATCCTCTGATCTTGCTCCCCTTATATCCACATATATAATAATGTAAAGCATCTAAATATATGTGTGTGTGCTGTTATATTTTTTCACTTCATTACAGGACTAAAGTGGAATACGAGTTTGCTCAAAAACCAGAACTAAGTCCAGGCTGAACAGCACAGACAAAACTGAATTTTGTTGCCCCAAAAATGAGTACTTAAGCTTGGTCATTCTATCTTGCTCTGTACAACAGTAGTTGTACAAAAACCTCACAACTGGTTCCATGAAACTTCTGAATTACTTCTAAAAACGCAATCTCCTCTGCAACTTTTGGTGATCAAATTTGCAGAGGGTACCCTAAAAAAAAAAAGGGGCGGGGGGGGGCAGGGAGGTTCTAAAGTATGAAGATTCACCTTCACAAATAACAAAGGCTGAATAAGTCAAAAGGCACATTCAGCACCTGACTTGATAGGCTGGTTTTGTGTGTGTGTGTGTTGGGGGATTAGTTTTGTTTTAAGCTTTAAATATGTAGTATTTATTTGTTTACAAGGGTTTTAAAAAAGCAACTAGCCTATCTAGATGAAAAAAACATCACTAAGGGGTACCACCAAGTTTTAAGTCTTTATATTCTGTTCTCTGGAAGAACTTACCAGTTTACTGCATTGCTACCCAGAGAGAATAAAGTAGCTAACACAAGTCATCTGTATCAAAAGATAGTCAGTAACTACCCTTCCACCCTGAAAGTCTGTACAACAAAGCTCCAGCATCTTTGCAAAGAAAACCCCTATCAGATATATCATCACTTTCACTAATAAGATTGGAACTAGGAAACTTAGTATAACTGTACTTAATGCCCTACTGGAAGGATATTATTTCACTGCTCTTTTCTGAAGAAGTGTACATAATATTCTTAAAATATTGGCACTTACTTGGTAACAGAAACATCTTGTGAAACCTCCATAAAAAAGTCTCAGAGCAGCTTGAAGAATTTAAATGCCATTGTGTTCTGTTTTCAGAAAGGTATTGGACATGTTCTCAGGGCAGGCTATGCTAGCACTGTATGTGAAATACCTGCCCTGATTTTCTCTTGGGAAGCTCATTGCTTTCACACACAATACTATGTACCCTGTGGAGTTTTTACTACTACTGCTGCTCCTGCTTCACAGATGCAGGAATGGAATTCAGCAGCTTGCTCAAGGAAGTATTTTGGAAGAAGAAAGACTGAAATCAGGAACTCACTCTGCTCATGAGACCCATTCTTCCTCCACTACTGTAACAACTCACCTGTCCGGTATGCAAGTAGTCTGGCTTGTATCATACAGTGCCTTGCAATTTCCTGGGACAAACCCTGATGGTCTGTTTCATTTGTTTGCCATGATTCGCTGTTGTAAAATCCAAAGCATCCGAAGACAGGGACACTGGCAGCCACTGTTGCCAAGACCAAGACAAGATCTTTCATATTTTGCCTAAGGTTGCTGAAGTACGGATTTTCACAGAGGTTCTCCAGTCCTATTGTCATCAATATTTGCTTGTGTGTTTCCTCATTTGAAATTAGGAATAAACTTTCATACTCTTTTATCCTCTCTTGTCTACATGTAGCATAAAAGTCAGTATTTGAGTCAGGCTGAGATTTTGCTATTTTTTGAATAAAATCAAATTTCGTGGAAGTTTCTTCAACAAATTGCATCATATAGCACACCAAGGGCTGAAGCAACACACACACACGAGCACGACTATTTGACTTCAGTCTTTCTACTGCTTTGGCATCTAGCTTTGCATCGTCAGTAGTCATGGGACTGGACACCTCATTCTGCAAGCTGATTTCAGGATCCGCAGGCCAGTAAGAAATCCTGTTCACCCCAGCTGGAAAAGAAGATAATTCAGCAAAACGAACCATGCAAGCACAGTGGAACATAAACCTCATTTTCAACACACTATTGCCTAACCCTGTTTTTACTCCTTTAAAGCCATGAGTGCTGTTTCAGTGGCATCTGGACAACAAAAATGCTAGCATATACAAGTATCAAGAGCTTATCAGACTTGATAATCGGACTACAGACAAAAATTGGAATTTCCTAAGTTCTGAGATCTTTGTGGCAGTCTAATTTTGCACCTTACCTACAACAGATACATTAACACCACACAAAAAAGTTAGCACTAGTAGCAGTTGCTGCTGCTATTAAAAACCAATACTTGCAGAAGGGCTGTACCAGCAGATCCCATTTCAGGAAGTGAATAACCTGACTTGTCTTCATCTCACTTGAGAAAAGAAAACCCTAAAGTACTCCCTGTGATTTCTGCATAAAACCACCCTTCTCTGGTGCCACTGACAAGCAATGGGCGGGCAAGGAAAAACGTAGCAATCTAGGCCTCATCATCAGGCTTAGGGTTGCTCTGGCAAAGTGCAACACATATGTCAGAATCTCCGCAGTGCATCCCAACCAAGAGACAAGCACCACCAATACTAATAGCTGCACAGAGAAATAGGGTCTCAGTAGCAAACCTAGTTTCTTGATCATCAGCTCCAGGAAATGCACATTCAATACTATTTTCAGCCTTGTGGAAAATATCAGTGCAGGCTGCACAAGTTAGGGATTGGCATTCACAACTGGGACAATCCAAAGAGAAAACAGGCTTTCTGATACCACCACCAACAAGCATAACATTTACTTCTACTCTACTACAGTCATTGCTTACCGTTTACAATCATTTTTAAACAAGTTGAACATGGTTTTCTGGAAAAATAAAGATCACAGTTTTTAAGCCTTGATCCGTGTTTAATGAGTGCAATCTGGCCAGCATGCAAGTCTGTACTGGAACAATGAAGACCGATAATCTTCATGTTTTTCACCACAACTAGACCACTCTTCTTTACCTACAGAAAAATGCATTACTGTTATTATTATTTTACTTTTTTTCAACATCAAATCCATAGAGATGTTACAGCTCTTCCTTGGGTAACAGTAATCAGCCAGCATCAGAGCATATAGCTCTTCAATACAAATTGTGGTATGAATCATTGAGCAATCTCTGTTACACTTCCCCTAAGCAGTATTTTTTTTTTTGGTGGTGGTTTCTACATATGCCTGTTAATATCAGAGTGCTGTGCCCCTGTCAAACTTCAAAGAGGGACTTGTTGCAAATTCCTGATTTTTCTGGTCATTGCTTTGCCCATAACAAAACCCAGAGGCAGCATAGAAAATTCTGTCAATTATAGCTGAAAACCCCTCTGAATCATCAGCATCTGGAAATGCTCATGAATTTCTGTCTTAAGCTTGACCATCCTGGGAGCCAATAGCTTCTCTAGCTTTATTTCTGTCTCTTCATTTATAGAAATGAATCCTGGTTCTGAAGAATCTTCCATGGAAAAAGTATGCATACCACAGACGAGTTTTTACATCTGGATTCCCATGTATTGTGAGGAAACTGGATACAGGATAGTTTGATGAAGTTGGTGAAATGGATCTCATTATGCAATGCAGCTGCTAACAGAACACTGATGCCTTGGATCTGTCAAATATTCAATTTCTTTGTGGTTACAGAAATGAGGCTGTACTAAAGCCCTACATATAATCCATGTGCCATTCCTAACTGAATTACTAAATTTGAAACTGCTTTTAAAGTCTGTATGGTGTTGCTCATCTATCCCCCTTTCAGATCTAGTCTGGGACATACCAAACTTGGAAAATTAGGCCGAATTGTCACTCAAATTGTTTTGCTATCTTTTCTTGTCCTGGCTGATACGTGTGCTATGGATCTTAGCACATGGGCATGCTCTGCACAAAGTAGTAATTATTTTAAAGAGCACAATAATAACTCTCATCACAAAAGGAAACACCCTGTTCTAGGACACTCTGAAAATGCCCCTCTGCTTTGAGGTGTAACTGGCAGCTACTTGGAAGACCCATTCTCAAGGACGGTTTCTTTTCATTGTCACTAAGGTAGTTATCTACAAGTTCTTCATCAGCAAACATTTCAAGTACTTCTGTGCACCTCCATGGTATAAAATAACTCTTCTGCAATCACGAACATCGAGATTTTAAAGAATATCTCTATACTATCAACCACAGTGATTTTAAAGTTATAATTAGTATATACTAAGAAGTGCACGGTATCCACCATGCCTCCTTTGTTACGCTCTTCAAAATACCCACCAGCATTTTTTACTGTTTGCTTCACCTGGCGGGGTTATACTTTGCCTTTCAAAGTTTTTCAGAAATAGCATGCTATTTAACCATTTTGCTATTTTTTCTCCCACCAGTGGATTTTTTCCTACTTCTAAGAAATATTTGAAAAATGTTTATCAGCCTTGGTTTTTTTTTCTTCCTCTCTGGACTATCTGTCATATAAAGAGCAGTTAGGTTAAATTCACTGCAGGAGGTATTAGCATCTGTTCAGAAAGACCAACTAACGGTAAACGTAGACATTTTACCTGTGATTTTTTCTGTTGCTCAGCTGAGGGAAAGAGCTCCATCCAGAGACTGAACAAAGTAAAAAGATTGACCTTAGAAAGTCTTGGCATTTGACCTGTCATTAGAAGAAAAAAGGAGAAATATTTATTAAAGAATATTTATAAAGAAACCCCACAATTTTGAACAATATTTTCCAAGTCTTCCACACCACAGCTGCTACAGAAGCTGGCATCAACCACTTCTGCTATTACAGCAGCTAAATCCACACTGTCCTCTTCAGGGCAGTAGTTGTCAACTCAGAATGCTCACATCTGGATGCAGAGATCAGATCTGTGCAACAAGAGAAAATGGTGAAACTTTCACTGAAATTCAGTGAGTTAATTCTACTCAGAGGTGAAGAGCAGAAATCACAGATCAGATCCCACATAACTTACTGTGCTCAAGTGATTCACAGATGCTTACAGAAATTTGAGACAGCTTGTGATTCAGCTTCAGGCTCACCACAGAAGACAACAAAAATATCTAGGCACGCATCATGATCTTACACTGACACCCGCAGCAAGAGTGGATGAGCCATTGTGAAACCTTTCAGTTACACCAGTTCTGGAGAAACCTATTTCTGGCTTTTTACAGTCTGCTTAAATTTTGGTTAGATTTTTACAAAAATTTAAACCTATTGCTCAGGCTGTCACTTTGGACTAAATAACCAAAGAGGTAGCAAAGAATCCCTTCTTGGACTACCACATTGTGCTGTGTTGTGCTTCTACTCAAGATCTGGACATTGTCCTGCAAGGGCCAGTGCTCAGCATTACTGAGTGTCCCACAAATGAAAAAAGGAGGAAGCACTGCATTGCTCACTAATGCTTGCACCATTCCAGATGTAAAGCTGTCTTGCCTCACACTTAGCAAGAAGTTAATTAAGTCTTCGAAAAAACTCCAGTCCCTATTTCAGAGGTGTTTACAGAGAGCTGTAATGAACACGTATTCCTCTGCAGGTCTCATGTGTGCTGTCTGACAATAGTATTATTTCTGTTTTTATCCCTTCCTACAAACGTTAAAGTTTTTGCAAAGGAGGAAAAGGCAGAGGCAAGACTAGAATAGAGAAGAACAATTCTCTAAGTAGTTCCGGCAGTTTGGAAGAGATATAATCAGATACTAAGATTGCTTCAGTGGGGGAGAGGGTCAGTTTAATGACATGTCTGTGAACCCAAACAATTAGGACAGCAGATAGATAAACATATGCAATCCATGACTGGAAAACCTTTTTCAGACAGTATTTTAGCAGCTTTTTTTCACACAGAAGTGTGATTTTGGAAAGCAACTATAGACCTCTCAGCAGCACCATCTGATGCTGTCCACTACTCCTTAGGCTGCCCACCTATGCTATCCTGCTGTGCACAAGCACTGCAAGGGGCACCTGGTTAGCACAATCAGATATGTGGGCTAGAAATGTAGCTGGCAAGCAGCACACATGAAGATTTGTTATCACTTGTGCTAAAAACAAATTGTAAAAGTAAGTCTACAAGCCACAGCTAAACAAGTAGAATTTGTTTTCTTAAATGGGCATTTGAGTTCATTCTCATTAGAGCCCCTGTTCACTCCTGTTGTAGCACACACATGTACAGTTCCCAAACGGCAAGCAAAAATGAACAGTGTAATTTATACCAACTCACACATATACCGTCATGTTTTCTAAAATGGATTACAGTTTGGCATACAGAGTAGATTTAAAACAGAATACACCAGAAACAAGTTTGAATCACCGTTTGTTTTCTTGGACCTAATCTGAATGCGACCTGTCAAACACACGGGAAACAAACTGAAGACTGTACCAGTTCACAACGCTGTTGTGAATTGACATGAATTTATAATGAGAAGCAGGAGAATATTATGATGAAAAAGGAAAGCCCTATGGTCACAGTTATATCTATGTATCCACATCTTTATTCACTTAGGTAGTTAAATGTTCCCTTAAGTTCAACAGAGTGAAGAGAATACTGATTAAAGTGGCCTGTAAAAAAGGTAGGAGCCATCTTACAGAATTTAAAGCAAAACTACAGAAGACCGGGGAAGAAAAGGAATCGGGCTCTTTGCAGCTGAGAGCAAAACCGCATATGAAAGGAGTGCTCTTTTCAGGTGCATCGAGTCCTCACACCTTCCCTACTTTACACAAAGGTACGATTTTATTCCTCCAGGTTAGGGATCTCGCTCCGGTGAGGCAAGGCACGCTCCAGGGAAAACATGCTGTGAAGGCCACTGTTGAAAACCCTGCTGCTCCTGCACCTGCAAGCAAAACAGGAGCAGGGCACTGCCCATCCAGACATGGCTCAGATACAGGATTATGCCACAGTTGTGACGCAGGAGTCCCTAGTTCAAAGTCTGCAAGGCTCGGAAGAAGTCATCTTACAAGTACGAAACTAACGCTGTGCTTTGACACCATCGAGGGGGAGGAAATCAGTGCGCTTACGCTCCCGTCTGGGAAAAGGAAACTAGAAACCATTTTCAGAGTTCCTTTTCTTTGCTCGCTTGGAAGCGGGATTTGCATAAAACTAGGATGAAACAAAACCCATTTACCCATCAAGGAGACCTGGCAGCCCTGTCGTGGTCCTCAAGTCTGACAGCTCTATGTAGAGCCCACGGGCGGTCTGTACATACACACCACTACTGCAGCGATGGGAGAGATGAAATCTATCAAAATCTGCTTCATCTGGGCATCCCCAGCCTTGTGGGAAAGTTGCTCCCTACTAAATTCGTGCATGGGCCCTGCTATAGGGGTAAGGACACCCCTCAGAAGGCAAGCGTTGTTATGCACCGCTTTATACACGGTATAGAACTGGAAAAAGAAATCACTTGGGGGGGGAATGCAAAATATAAGCATAAGTTATCAAAAGGCCTTATGTTTAAGAGCGCAGGCAAGCGTGGGGGGGGCACAAATACACCTTATTGCCCTGCCTGTACCCGGCAGGAGCACTCTGAAGCAGCAGCTGAGGAGAGGGAAGGCGGGAACTCTCCGAGCAGCCCCGGGGAGGGAAGAGCCCCCCTGAGGAGAGGACAAACCCGACGGCTACCGGCCATTTCGTTCCACACCTCGAAGCAGCCGGTGGGCGAGGAGAGACCCTCGAAAGGCGGCTCCCCGCCAGCCGTCACCTCCCGCTCCCTCACGGGGTCGCGGCTCCCTCACAACCGGGGGGGGGGGCAGGCCCCGGTCCCCGTGTCGTGTCGTGTCCCCCTCCCCCCCC